TTGATTTCCACTTATGCCAAAATTCAATAAATAAAGCCATGTAGACAGTCTGATAGGAGATGGTTAACAACCAAGTGATCGATAATCCTATCCCTCACAATATTCCATTAACTTACAAATGACACTTGTCAGATTGATAGGGTGATAGTTACCGGGGCTACTCTTTTCACATTTTTTGAACGAATGTGTCTTATGATTTTCTTTTTCAATTGGCCGGTAAAGTCCCTGCGTTCAAAAGTTTTTGGAACGAAGTCGGCTAATGCCTCGTTCTCACACTGCCGGTTGAAGGGCCGGAAGACACCCGGAATCGATTCCGGGGGTACCGGTTATCAAACTGGAGATCCGGGAGTTCCTAGAGTTCCTGGAGGGTGTGGCCATAATCCGGCTTGGTCGAAAAAATTATTCAACATGTTGAATAATTTTGCCGGTGCACCAGGAACCATAAATATCCGGGACCCAACCTGCTCTTCCGATGCTATGTGAGAACTCAACCGGCACGGCCGGGGGACCAGCCATGGGGAACCGGGAGGGGTGAAATCGTCCCAAAAAAGCCGGAAATTCTGGTTATATGGGTTGCAGGGACTAGAAATCCACAATATTATTTACCAAAATTAACATACCAATTCTATAGCAATTCTGTTGTTTTGTAATGCCGTGGCCATGTGTACATACTCTCCCATTATGTTGACAGCCTCTGTCAATATGGCTATCCTCTGTCTCTGGCTTGCCATGATGTTGCCCGATCTGTTGTGCTGGTTGAAATGATGAAACCATCCACACACCTGGACTTTTTATAGGAAACAGGGGAAGGGGCGGGGCTAAATTTGCATAACTTACCTGGAATACCGGAAAAAAAGCCGGTCCTACCCTGGTTTTACGGCAGTTCTTACTGCTCAAACGGCTCTACCTGCTGTTTTACCGGCTTTTTTCCGGGAATTCCGGCGATCTACCAGGAAATCCGGGAGGCATACAGGACTTCCGGCAGGCTCCCGGGAGTACCGGGAATACGTTGACAGCCGGTATTGCAAGATCTCCCGGCTGCTGAAGCCGGATCTCCCGGATATCCGAGGAATTCCGGCGATATACCTGGAAATCCGGGAGGCATACGGGACTTCCGGCAGGCTCCCGGGAGTACCGGGAATACGTTGACAGCCGGTATTGCAGGATCTCCCGGCTACTGAAGCCGGATCTCCCGGATATCCGGCTCTTCCGGGAAACCTACCGGCTCTTACGGGACAGCTACCTGCATGGAGGGCATTACATATTAAGCCCTGCCCCTTGCATATTACGCCCTGCCCCATATGCCGGCTATGAATCCGGCATTTCAACCGGCTTGGCGTTTCCGGGACTTCCGGCTCTTTAACCGGCTACGAATCCGGCATTTCAACCGGCTTGGCGTTTCCGGGACTTCCGGCCCTTTAACCGGCAGTGAGCCGGCCAGGACGGTTACTAATTCTTCTTCAAAACATGTTAACTTCGAGACTACTGAGCTGGAATAGCTGGAATGCTCCTCAATAGCTGGAATGCTGTCCAAGTCCTCATCTGTGAACACACTACTAAAGTATTAATCAAAAACGTTAGCCTTGCTCTCATCAGAGGATTTCTTTCGTTGATCAAGTTTCAAATCAGAAATATCGTCTTTCGTCTTACACTTCGAACTAGCGTACAAAAAGAAGGCTTTATGGTTCATTTTGAAATATTGGCAATATTTTTCCAAATTTTTCACAGCATGGCGACAGATTTTTCAGCTTGATTTCGAGTTCTTGCATACAAGTTATAATCAGCAACGCTGCAAGTTCGTAAATACCGCCTATAGGCTTCTTTATTAAAGAATCTGAAGTGACGCAAGCTATAAAATGCCGAGGATTAAAAATCTCCGGTAATGGTGCTCACGGGAGACGGTTGTGGCGTGCTCAGAATGCACTCAAATAACTAATAGTAATAGGTATATTACACGAATGCTGAACCGCCATTTTACCCACAGCACGAGCAGAGATCGGGCGTAAAAAATAGGCCGAACTGGGTCACGATGACCCTCAAGGGCAAAAAATTAGCCGTAATTTTATCAAGGTCTCATTTTTACTGCCAACTTCTAAATACTTAACAGTCCCTATATTTAATGTGCTACTAACTTCGGGTATAGACGCTACCGGCCACTGAGGGCCGGTTAGTAATGGTGTTGTGAAGAACTGATAAGTCTTGAAAGATTATTATTCCCAGTCCGCTTTACTTGAAATATTCTTATCTGCACCCGGAGACGGACAAATCTGAGGCACAAGGGTTAAAATGAAAGACTTCGTGATTAGTTAGTCGGAATTACCAGAATTTTGAGCTCCTTAGAATTCAAGCATTGGAACTTTGTCTACAGATAACTCTCCTTTATAAATTATTTTCTATTAATAATAAGAAGTTATTTTCAACTTCAACCGTCTGTCGAATTAGTTTCCGTTTCGGAATGTAGCGAGGATTAAAGTTTGGTCAGCTGCATTTTGGAATCGAGGATATATGTTAACGTCCCTCAATTCCCAGCCTAAAGAGGCACTAGTGGAGAACTAAGGGCGGCTAATATGGTTAATATGTGTACGGGGAGGATTGGAGAATTTATTTTACCAATATGAGTTTTTATATGTATTCTATCCTCACAAATGTGTGTGACACATTTGTTTTCAATTAATTTTAAAGATTTCAGGTGAGCCGTTGACAATATTAATTTCGGTTTAATGAATGAGCGTGCTTGCAACCAAAGTTCACGTACCAAACCAACGAAATCCAATAGTGGGTTTTTAGTTCAACCTTCCTTAATAAGCATAATAATTCTATTTTTTCAAGATTCAGTAACCGGGATTTTCTCGTAGCCAATATAAGAGACGCCAAAAATCATGAGTCCTCTACATGCTTGAATCTGCAGAAATGTTTTGGTTAAACATTTTCTTAACTCCATCACCAAATTATACTATTAGCAATACACAGATATTGTGGCTCTAATCTTCCCAGAATCTGGTTCAGGTTTAGTTTTCGAGATCTTGTATCCTATGAAGATCACAGAGTCAACATCGAATTTAGTCTTGCTTATGTTTAGTCCTATTCCTTGCTGCTCACATCGTTTAGCAAAGTTCCATCAATTTTCATCGTGTTCCACTGATGCAGGGCCGTGAACTATGATGTTGTCTGCAATGCATGGTACTACCTTGAGACCTGTTAGAGCTTCATGTAATTTCTTCTGAAATATTTCCGCGCTCTTGGAAATCCCAAATGTAATCTGAGCCAATGGTATCTGCCATAAGGCGTCTTGAAAAGTCGTCAGATTGCTAGAAGTCTCACCGACATTTACCGGCCAGTATCCTGCTGCTAGATATGTCTTGCTGAACACTTAGGAAGAGCTTAGCCCATGAAACGCGTTGCCAATAGCAGAAAGGGTGTATATTTCATTAAGTATTAATTTGTTTACTTACTAGTTTAACTTATTTCCGTGGGTCGATGCACAGCCCCACTCCTTCTGTCATCCTTCGTCATCACGATTCGGCTTGCACATTCTATTGCTTCGTCAACTGGGGGCAATAACTCTCAACTTCTACTTTTATTTTCAGTTGATGATTGCAGGGAAAGGTTACTATGTCGCCCTTGAATATTCGAAGATCCTCTTATCCGTCTATTTTTTCGAAGTTCCTTTCTTTCAGTTCCACTAGCTTCATTAGATAGCTTGCTAGGAGTCCTTAAACTGGGGTGTAGTATTATTCGCTGATCAGGTACTATAAAGACTTCGGAATTGTATCCGGTTGAATCTGATACTCAACTGCGGGGGCAAATGTTAAGGCTTGCCAACGTTACGTTGACATACTAATGACAGGATTGTAGTTCTATTTGAATTTTAGCATAATACGTAAATACGTAACATATTATGGTGCACTGGAGGAAATATTTTTGTATTCTCAATTTCTCGTGTCCTTTTACTCGGTTTTATTGTTGTTATTTAAACCCAGTAAAAGGACATTGGTTTATGCTAAGAGCACATGCTGAACATATGGCAAGATTTTTCCTCGTGTGTCGCGTCCGTACTTTTTTCAGCAAGTTTTTCATGCTCACTGTAATAGAGATGTCGCCACCAAGTGACATTTTTAATCCTGCCTGTTATTAGCAGTTATTGTCTCTTGCTCATTCGTACTATGGAGGCCCTCAGTAAGAATATTCTCAAAACTTTTATATCGAGGTTTTATAACAAATAGGTCTTTTTCTGAGCTGTTATCATTTTCCGGGCTCCCAAGCGTCTGCAGCAGCGGCTTGTTGTTGGTCTCTGGCAGCAGCAATATCAGGAAGGCTGCCAGACCGGCGAGAATGGCGTAGATGGTCAGAGGCAGCCATGATAGGCCTGCAGGCTGGAAAAAAGTAGATGGATACTTAGTTATAAACTACTTTTAAGGCAAATTCATGCCATTAAGTTAAATTAAAAAAATTGTGAAAATTAAAAAAATATATATTTTTGAAAAATCAAATTAAATTGAATGAATAGAATTTTACTATTAAAATTTAAATGTTTCAGAATTTATTAGTACTCTAATGCTTGTGCTCTGCTTTGCCGAACGCCTTCACGTTCTGAACATCCAACTGGTCTGTAATGGCATAAGTTTATTTAGAGGCTCGTCCGAATTGTTCTACGACTGCACGTGAACGTAAAGTTTTCGCTATACATGAAAATTTTGTAAATTTAATTTTATTCAAATGAAAACAGCGTGTGAATGTCAGACAAAATTTAAAGCTTTTTCGAATTCTACCAGTATTTTATCTTGTACTTTAATTTATATAAAAATTTTCATCACATTTATCGATACCTGCATTACAAGCTGTGTACGGATAATAGATATTTTCATATGGGGTTTTGAACGTCCGTATTAGGCAGGACTTTGTCACCAAGAGTGAAAAGTTCACGAAAGTTTCAGGTGGAATTCAGTGCACACGAACCAGTAAAATCTTCAGCAACGGGGGGATGTTGTAGCCAGCGCTCGTCATGAAAAATGCCAGGCTGGTGCCAAAAGATCGAATGGATGTGGGAAACAATTCGCTGCAGAACACTAAATTCACCTGAAAACAACACCTCAATGAGAGAAACAAAAGTGTTGCTTAGCGGATGAACGCGAATCATAATGGGTAAAAATTTCGAATTCTCCCAAACCGTAAAAGACAATTTCGTTGAAGATATTTAATATAATGATTTCCTTCCCAAATTGCGATTGATATTTACGATAACGATTTCCGAATTTACAAGGGATTGAGTACGTTCATAAGTGTGAGGTTATTGGGCTTGATACTATCTTCATCCAACGGAAACCATTAATTTCGTTTTGAGTTTTGGTTCCAATATTCAAGATATTAGGTTTTCTTTGTGACGCATGCCTTGTCTCCCTAGGACTTCTATCGAAAATTGATACACTGACTCTTTCTAAGGAGAATCAATGTATCAATTTCAATCAATAAATCAACCGATGAGCTCGAATTATCAGATTTCGTGCTTCGCTTGTATCATGTTGAAAATTGTTAGTATTGAACTATGATTAGTGCGTTCTATTAATCTTACTACTTACACAGATCTTCCACCCTAGATACTTTCCCTCTCTTTCCTTGCGGGCGAACCATGCATTGCGAACTGGTCGAGTATCACCGAGTCGATATTATAGGCGCTATTTTTGTGTTCCATTTTCAAGTAACGATTATAAAAAAAAGAAGACAGCACCGGATGAGACAGAAACAACAAATAATATAGACAGAGACATGAAAACCATCACTTAGCATTTCATAGCAAACTTGAATACATCAGGGCTAAGTTCTGGTATATAACAGCAAGGATTCATTTTGCCCGAGAACCTAAGTGACAAAAAAGATACTAATATAGCCCTCAATTAAAATTAATAAGGTAATATTTTAATGCCTCCTGTAAATTCACTAACGCCAGCATGTTATTTATTTCCTCATGTTGTGCAAAATAAAACTATATAACTAAAGTCATGCGTTTCGTATTTATTAGAGAGTCTTTACATTAATGTATATTCGAATTTGAATTTTCAGTCGGTAATAAAATTGGTGTGTTAATGTGAAAATAAACTCGATTTTGAATTAACGTTTTTATAATTCGCACCTGATATACACTGCAGATCATAGTATACCCGGACGCGATGAGTACCATGTTCAGCCAATCTGTAATTTGTTTCATAATTAACAATATAATTTATTGATTTCTGTATTTGTTTCATCATCCTTACTTAGTATTTATATTATTTAAAATACATCACATTATTTGCACAATGGAATGACAAACAGCTGTCCCTCGCAAAGCTCAAAGTGCAAGTACACCGATACATATGAAATTTGCAAGGTTATAAGACGAAGTCGAACAGAACACATTTGCCTGAAAAGTATTTTTGCACGTGGAAATTAATACACTGGTCATAAAATCGGTCTACAGAAAAATCAGGTCTCCCGTCCAGATCACTGTTTTTTCAATATTTGACTGCTATTGTTTGACCAAGCGTTTTTAATTATCCAACAAGTTGAACAAAATCAAGCTATCTCTTGAGTAACGTTCAAATTCCTTGAACTTTAGACATTTTTTTCGATTGCATAGATGACTTTATGTCGTTTTCTGCTCATTCGTAGAAACTTAATTGCGTAAATCTAGTAGCTACTCACAATTTTGATACTCTATGGCAATGAGAACCACGACGAGGATTTGCAGAGCGCAAGTGAGAAGAAGTCCTCCTACGAGGAACTTTTTCCTGCCCAGCCTCGCAGTGATGGGAGCCGTGACCGTATAGGCTGGGATTTCCGCAACACCCAACACGGCCATATACACGAAGGGTGAGCTGACGGGGGCAAGGGTGCCATGACGTTACCCAAATCATGGTTTATTAACTAAATATTTTCGATGTTTTGTCTTAAATCGTATCGCCGAATGCAGAATTAGTTTCATTATTGTTTTTTCATATTTGAAAGTCTTCGGTATAGATTGCTATCTCATTTAAAGTTTTATTACTTTTTTTTCAATTTCCGTTGTGGCGTGACTTCCGCCATTATTTTAATTATTGTCATTGTTTAGCATTATTCCCATCCATTTGGTATTCATTTTTTTATGTTCACGAAATGGCTTGATTTTACGAATTTACTTTAAATATTGTCTTACCGAAAATTACTGAAGCCATGCCTGGCCTATTTTGAGCCCAAAAATATTGTTTGCCAACTGAAGTATTATCTGTTGTTATTGTTATTAATTAGAAGAAAACTAATAACTATAGTCATGTAAGTAGACAATGAAGTTAGAAATGGTTACTGCTCGGATTTTTTAGCCAACGCCCTATAATTTTGTTTTATCCAAATTCCTCTGGCGTTTTAAATTGACTCATTGATTGGAAGTTCTGAAATTAGAACGTTAAACTTATAGGAAATTCTCTTAAGAATCTTTACTATGTTCAGTTCTTTACAAGCAAATGACGCTTGTTGTCCCTGATTTCTCCCATCAAACGAAGTAAAATATGAAGCAACCTCAATTTTAAAATAATTTAACTGATGAATTATTTTATTTAGGCCTACATTTATCCTCAATATCCCGATTTCTTTACTTATGAAACAGCATCGGTAGACGTTACAACAAACATATGCAATAAAATACAGTTTGGTCTTGAATTAATTTATGAGTCTTTGACGTACGGGAATTGGTCAGCGCTGAGCGGTATGCTGATGTACAGGCAACTCTGCATCAGCCACACAGGCACCAGAATGCCGGTCACTCTGCGCAGGTACGGCGACGACACCAGAGACTTGAAGCGGGATAGGAGCGTAGACGTTGGTTTCTCCCCACATTCTTTCTGTGTTCAAAAAATAAGTACCATCTATTTTATTATAAGCATCTCGGTGGATATTTTTGACGGCATTAATGCAGGAATTTGTTGATGGTCATAATTATACTATTTGTGTTAATTCATCATGCATTATTTTGATTTGAATTTAATCGACATTGATTTTGCCAACACTTAGTTTAAATTATATGTATGATCACGGCCTGACGACCGGAAAAAAGCATATACCGCTAGTGAAAATCATCCTTAAGGCCGGTCTACACGCTCAGTTTTACACAACGATTGGTCTGCGCAGTTCAAATCGTTGCAGTTATAACGTTGCGTGTGGACGGAAAACTGCGCAGTTCTGAAGCCGGCGAGAAGACTGCACAGTTGCAGCGATATCTGAACTACATGGCACAGATTTCAATGACCTGCGCGGATAAGTCTGAATGTGTAGACGGTAGCACTGTTTTCCGATTCAATTAGTGCTCAGTTTCAATGATTCTGACGACAATGGCGGACCTTCGGTAATGTTCTTTGGAATTTATTGCTCTATACGAAAGTTTTTCTTGCATTTGGCGAGTAAAATCCAAGGACTATAGTAACAGGGACAAAAAGGTGAATACATGAGAGCTTAGTGGAAAAGTTCAAAGAAATTGATGAAAGCGCCAACAGAGAAACAGCTGTAAATATTAATAGTTTGAGGAGTTTTTAACGTAAACAATTGGGAAAAAATTAATAAATCGATTCGATCTGGAGCTGGTGAAGATGACATCTACTACAAGCCATCTCTCTGTTATTTTGATTCCTCGCATTTCCTAAATGATACAATCTTTTTTTTAACCTGGCGCAAAGCAAAATTGACCAATATACTGCCTCTTCCATGGCGAGAACGCAAGACTGAGCAAACTACACAGATATGTCGGCACCGTATGGACGCTCTAAAAATTTCAACGATTTATTTCCGACTTAACCCTTTCCCCACTGACGGGACTCACAAGTCCCGCCTCAAGTTTCACGCTCTAAAATACATACAACAAGGAATTTTAGGTCCAGGCACCTAACGGGACTTCTACGTTCGTTTATACACCTCAAGAAAATTACTAATTGGCAACCGGCTCACCCAGTGAGATTTCTAAGGCAATTGCATCAGCCAGCTGAGAATGACAGTAAGTTTCCTTTTTCTCTCATAATATTCCATCATAACTGTTTATATTCAACATGGATTTCCTTACTTTTTGTTTAATTTTGTGTAAAAATTTATATTTTAACGAAATATAACAAATAAATGTATTTGGAAGACTGTTTTTGATGAAAAAAATAGAAATTAGGGGAACGACTTGCAAGTCCCGCCAGGAGAACCGGGACCTGATAGTCCCAGTAGGAGTCGCGTGTCGTTTGTATCACTAGGTAGGAATACTACTGAGAATTCCAATTCTTACTGGTCCCATCGATTTCGTATTCATTTTTTTTACACCACGGCACTTTTATGTTGTAACTTATTTTATTTTCAGACTTGAGCACTTCTTCCTGAAACATGGCCAATCGGTCATTGGAAGCAGATGAAATACTTCATCTGTAGGACGAAATTGATGCTGACATTCACGAAGATACCGACATTGACTGATTGAGCCTGAAGATCGAGACCCCACAGAAACCATTCATATCGTGTACAGATTAGATGCGGAAGTCGAAGATGAACCCATTATATCATTGAATTGGATGAACAAGCCGAGATTACACCTACTGATGCAGCTTCTGAGACTCCTGTGGTAGGTGTACATCCACGAAAATGGAGAAAAAAAAAAGAAAAATCAATTGTCCATGAGGTTGTCGCGCATCCCAAACGAAATCATGAATTTGCATGCGCCCTCGATGTTTTATGCATTTTTTTATGAGGATCTTCTTGATATGATTCACTTCCAGACTAATTTGAAAAGTGTACAAAAGGGGAAGCCTGCTTCTGTGACGAAAAATGAAATAAAAGTATTCATTGGAATCAACATTGTGATGGGCTACAATAGAAGAAATCAGCTCTGACATTATTGGTCCTCATCTCAAGATATGAGTGTACCTATCATTCAAGCAGCAATGTCTCGTGACCGTTTCATTGAAATTCTAGGATGTCTGCATATAAACGACAATGCAAAACTGAATGAAAATAAGCACGACGTGTTATTCAAATTGAAGCCGTATCTTGAAAAACTAAATGAACGGTTTTCCACAGTAAATAATCCTCTAGAATTATTGTCTGTGGAGGAGTCCATGATCAAATTCAAGAGAAGGAGCTCTCTACAGCAATACAACCCAATGAAACCCATAAAACGAGGATACATATTATGGTGTCTCGCTGATGACTCTGGATACATACACAAGTTTTTCATTTATTGTGGAAAGCGGCAGCCAGATGACGAAATGGTCAATAATAACCTTGGCCTTGGTGGAAACATTGTTACATCTCTTGTCGCATCATTGAAGAACCGCTTCCACAAGCTCTATTTCGATTGGTGGCAAAGATTATAATAAACACATGGGGGGTGTTGATAAGCATGACATGCTAAGGCAAATCTATGGCATCAATAGGAAGAGCTTGAAATGGTGGCATGGCATATTCTTCGGACTTCTAGATATGACAATCGTGAACAGCTTCCTCATTCACAAGGAACATTGTCAATCTGCCATTTCCCTCTTGGACTATCGACAAGAAATAGCATGAGAACGCCTGGCATATACAGAACATTCATGCACCCATCATGCCAAGAGGAAAAAAGGAAAATTCTCGACACCAGACTCCGTACAGTTGAGCATCCCTGGAAATCACTGGCCCCTGTTCACGAACATTCGTGGTCATTATGAAGTTTGTTCCCTGGATAAAGTGGAATCACGTCCATTATCCAAATGTTCTCAATGTGGCGTTCATCTTTGTTGCAACGTCCAAAAACTGTTTTGGCGAGTTTCACAAGTAGCTAGGGAAGCGTGCAAATGCACGTGCGATAAAGGAAATATGATGTATTCAGTTATGATTTTATCTCACCTTGTCACATAAGCCAAAGTTATTATTCTACGTAATAACTTATTATTTCATTCAGATTATTTTTTTCTATGTACTTACTGATAATAAATATCTGATTAGTTCTTACACTGTATCAATTGTATCAGCAGAGCAAAAAAAAATCAGCTACTTTTTATGCTGAAAAGCTATTATTTTATTTGTTTTTTTTTTGTGTTAATTTTGTAAGTAAAAAATGTTTACTGCAAAACGTGTTTTATTTTACATTATTATTGTTAATAAGTGCATATTGTGCAGATCTTGGAGCATAATACAAGGGATCGCGTGTGATGGCTATATGATTATGTCATGTCCCGGGAGCCCTGACGGGACTCTGGAGTCCCGGATCACTATTTTTTATATTAATTAAATTTTTTATATTTTAGTAGCATAGAAACTATAATAAAGGTCCATAGAGTATAATTAACACAAAAAATACACATAAAATAACTTCCATCATATAGCCGGGTGGAAAGGGTTAAGACTGCGCAGACAAATCGTTGTGTAAAACTGAGTGTGTGGACCGGTCTTTATCTAAACCGGAAACACTTTAATATTCGTGAGAGTGTAAGATGCTAAACAATGTATTCGGCCTCTTCAATGTTTTAGGGTTCACCACTTAAATGTTCACCGCATAAATGTCTTCCAGGACGCCCATCAAATTGTCCGGCAAGTTGTATGTCGTTTTGTTCCACTTCGCGACTCGGAGCAGCGAGGCTTCGGCTTCTTTAAGCCGTCCCCGAGTAACTAGCCAACGTGGAGAGTCTTTCACTAAACTGAACATAGGTGGGAAATAATAAAATAGAGGAACAGTTTGATCACATAGTTTTCCCTGACGTAATTAATGAATTTCAGTTATGATGTTTTTTTGGGTATAAAACTTTGCCTGCTAGCATAGTTACTACTATCAGTTAGTTAAGCCGTCATCGTGAAGAATTCCCACTTATGAGACTAACCTTGAAGTTCTTAGTAATAGTAAAACTCGTGTATTTACTCACAAAGGATTACTTAGAAAAAACATCAAAACGAGAGGAAAAGAACCAGCTAGCTGCAGCATCCGCCAGTCCGGACATGCATAAGCCAGTCCGGCTAACAGGCTCAGCATTACGGCGTAAGGCAAAGCCATGCATACGCCGAACGCCGACCGCAAGGGCGTCGGGCAGAATTCTAAACCTGCACAGCAACTCGGATTTAGAGAACAATTACATGTGCAGTAAGGGTGAGCATTTCAGACAATGGTATAAATAATAACAATAATGAATGATATTGTCATCATTGCTTTGACCATGTTGGCCTGTCGTCAAGTCTCTCATCTACCTAGTGATCTTAACCACATCTTGTTAGGAACTTCACTCCAGAGAAGTGAGCAGAGCTTCAAACGTTAAGACTGTTCGAACAGACATTGATTCTAAACATCAACATTGCTATCTATTTGCTGTAAACTAGTACATTCCATCGACAAGTGGATGGTTGAGAGTATTGACAGTAAATTCTCCTCTGCTCAGTAACTGACCTATTGTGTATACAGTCGAAATTCTTAACATTGTGGAGAAACCGATGAAGAATCGGCAGACGAGGATGCTTGTCAGGTTCGGTATAGTAACTAGGAGTGTGGTGAAAAATGCAATCAGTGCCGAGCCGTACCATAAGGTGGGTTGTCGACCGAGCCTGAAGAAGCACGTAGATTAAGAAGCAACATCTTGTAACTTTTACTGTGATTGCAAATTCAATGGCAAGCCTTTTTTGAGTGCTTTCATAAAATTTGAACTTCAACTTTAGTTTCTACAAACGAAAATTTCAGAATAAATACGTTACTAACTACGTAACTCTACTTCAAAGATTAGCAATTTATTTAAAATTTTATATCGATTGATCATATTGATAGTTTCTTGCAATATACAGGGTGCGGCGTGGGAACTTACTCTTTTAAAAAAATCACAAAGTAAAAAGTATTAAAGATAGCGTTTTAATTCTTTCTTTTTTACAAAGAGCTACATTTAAAGTTTCGTTGGGTTTACTTACAAGTTTAATTCTTGAATATTACATCTTGTAGGTGACCTCCATGCTGTTCAACACTAGAAAAGTACACAGAGACTGCGAACGCGCGCTCCTCTCTCGACCACTGCATGGTCGCAACTGAACTGAGTGGACGAAAAACTTCATAGCCCGCGCACCATATTGCGCATGGCGCCACCTTCCTAGGACTAATGGCCGCCACGTGGCGCGCAATTCAAATAAGTAAGTTCCCGCGCCGCACCCTGTATAAAGAATGAACACAAATCTGATGTGCCTTCCACACAGAGGGCACCCTTTTATCAGTTTTATTTTCCTCTCGTCTTCCTGCTCTCGCATTTTCTTGATGAGGCTGGCTTGACCAATATATGATCCTCAATGCCTGTCGATTGTTACAGATGAACCACCCATGATTTGTAGCATGAATTAGCTTTAATTGCAATCTATATGCGTAATACTCACGAATTGAGTGGTTGAGGATTAAGATTATTCCACCCACTCACTTGTCGGCAAGCAGCCCCCCGACAGGACAGCCCAACAAGCAGCCAATCGTGAACATCATTTGAAAGAGCTCCCGTATGTTGGCTTTGGAACACACCAACTCGAACTAAAGTGAAGTGAAACATACGTTACAATGACAATTACTGTAAGGTCGTAGCATTTTAGTATTATATAGGTCCTCAAGCTCACTGTAAACTGAAATTAGAGTCATTGACATGGAACATTCAACCAAAAAACATACATTGTTCAATGCTGTTCTTGACAAATAATAAAATGCCGTTTTGAACCTGAATTTATTTCGAGCCGATCGCTCCAGTGGTGATGTATCAAAGTTGGAACATGGAACCTCAACTATTCAGTATGTAATAATTCATCATCTTCGACCACATAACGAACTATAATATTGAATATTGATCTTCGGCCATGCATTCACTTGCCTCTTCAGTCAGGGTGAAATGATAAATTTCATGCGAAAAATTATACAGATCGCAGCTCCGCGTGTCATTGGACTCTGCTCCTGCCGGCTCCTCACCGCATTCCGATCTGCATTTTGGAAGTAGGAATAAAATGCGATTATTTTGCTTACTCAAGTAAAGATTTATGCTTGGATGAACAATATACGATTATTTTGCTCATCGTGATCATCGAAGATTCCTTGGCAATCGAACAATTTGGCAATTCAATGGAAGAGAGTGAAAGCCATGGTAAAAACTCACGAATTTGTTGCAATGACGTCTGGTTGATGTGTGTTGACACAAGTAAACTGAACAGGTGGAGCTATGAACGGGGATCCAAAGAGATTGATCACGTGCGACATCGGTCCTGTGTAGTGTCCATTGATTAGAATGATTTATGATTGACAAGAGATGTATATATTTTCGATGCGAAAGGAGTAGAATTACTGGAAGGAATCGCTGAAACCTACGGCGTGGCACGGATGCAATTTCATATTAAAAGTAGTATGATCTTTCATCAGGTCGTTGGAGGGACTCGATTTTTAACAAGAGCTTATTTTGGCTTGAGGTAAAGGTTTAATACGATGAAATTATTTTTTAGTAAAAGTACCTTACGTATCAATTTAGGTATAAAGTTTTAGACGAAAAAGTCTAGACTTGGAATTTAATATTTAAGCTTTCATGCATTGTAGGAATGTACGAATGTAATTTAATTAATATAATTGCCTAACTAACATAGAGCTACCAATAATGGAGCCTTGCATTTACGTATATTATTAAGAAAGAATGCCGAGCCTCAAGTTCTTTTTAATAAGATAATTTCTGATTACCATGTATACAACTAAAGGCTTAACTAGAGGTTTAAATAAATATACATCAGTAGTTTGTTTTGCACAGCTGTGTGCAATCCATTAAAAATGTTCATTGTACAACACTTCAATCCTAATGATTGTAAATATTTTTCATGCCAATGATACTTATCTGGAGCATGTATTCATGCGCCAGTCGTTAATGATGGAAAATTTACATGGGTAGAAATTGGTTGCAAGGTTGCAATCCGCATGGGGATTACGTGTGTACCCATGTCATAAATCATAAACGAAAGACGAAAAAGGACAAGGAATAATAAATACTCACCTAATGATGCGATAGTAAAGATCAAGTAGGTTGATGGTCCCACACCCAGCGAGGTTATGATCTCGTCCATGATATTGAATATTTATCGCTCTATATTGAACAGTTGTGTTGATTTGATACGGATCTGTCAGTTCACTGACTTGTTCCCTAAGTCAGTATGATTAAAAATATTTTCTGCAAGCTGATCAATTTATTGGTATTTGGTGATGCGATGATATTATTCACTAGTTTGTGAGCAATGTTATCAATATCTGGAAATTAGAAATAAATTACAAAGGCTTGCATACATTTTATTCTTCACTAATAGAGCTGACAACTGAGCAGCTGTGGATTTTTGCCTCTTTTGGGGTTGAGGCAGACGTGAGCAGTACTTGCATGCATAGAAACAAGCGAGACTATGAAAAAAGTATGTTTTTTAAACATTCTTACTAGGTATTACGGCCATTGCCGCATTGTATGTGTTAGTAGGTATTGTTGGAAATTCAGTGACAGCTGACTAATTTTCTTTGAGACAATCCCACCGCAGGCATCTAACGTTAAAATAACGTCGATTAAGCGTTGCTTCAACGTCATTTGTTTGGAGGGATATGGTTCGTTTTAGCTTGTACATTTTTAATCTTCACAATCAAGTACTGCAGCAGACCCTTCATACCTGCATCACAAATGTGATGCAATGCATCACAAATGTTTTGCCTTCACTATCGTCTTGACGACGCCGACCGCCCAGGTGTTTCTTCGAGTGCTGCGTGATGCATCACACTGCACTTGATGCATCACACTGCACTCTTCATTTGTGATGCAGTGGTTAACAAGTCAGGCGGCAGAATTTTATCAGGAGGGTATTCAAAAACTGGTGCCACGTTATGACAAGTGCCTCAATATTTACGGAAATTATGTAGAAAAGTAAATTAAGGTACAGGCTTTCATGTAAAAATAAAAAATGCGATATCTTTGCACGTTTTTTTTAAATTCCAAAACGATACTGACTTAAAAAACATGCCTCGTACACTAAAATTCTTATAATTCAACTACACCTTTGTTGATCGATGATCGGCGACTGTTAATATTTTTCCCAAACAACGCTGATCGCATAATTTTTATGCCATGAGGGTTGATCGAGTGACAACTGGCCGGTTGGTCACGCGAGTTGATCGATTACGGTTGCCGGCAAAAAATACTAGTCGAAATCGAAAATATGGTAGGGTGGTTCAAAACAGCGAAATTAGAGCTATGAGTGACGGAACACAGCACAAGCAAATTGATAAAATTTTGCGATGTCTAGCATCGACGAATGGCTCAATTCGGCATATTCAATGCTGACAATACTATTATTAAAAATAGTGAAAACCGCATATTTCCCATCAATTTCAAGCCACCAAAACGAAAATCGAACCATTTTTTCTTTGCAGCGATGTAAATATTACGGAACACACTTAATCGATCCATACAATTTATACTTAATGATACAATAATTAGTCTCAATTGATCGCAATATTTCCAACACAGACAGTTGGCACTTACGCAAAATTCATAATAAATTTATGCAATATTTTAGGTGAATAAAAAAATTGGATTCGCCGTCATCTATGGAAAAACTGTGTGTATTGCATTTACATTAACATTAACTGTGTGTAACATTTTCCATTGTTCCTCGGACAATTTATATCAGGAACAGTCTGACACATGGCCAGTGGCTTCACTGTGGCTTGAAAAATTTGTGAATACTTTGCTTCTGTCAGTTTTTTGGTATCTACCGAATTCACGCTAAATTTTCTAAACATAACTTAATCTAAAAGCCAAGCGCAAAGCACGAAGTCGTGTGTTCGTCTTGATCTAGAATGACCCGCAACCCAATAACACCTTTCTAGGTTGGATAAATTACAGTGGCAAATACCTTCGTGCACTGTGTAGGCAAACAGGTTTCAGTGGCTTAAAAGAGACTTGCCTGCAATGCGCTATCGATTATTCAGACCCTGTAAATCATCAATGATTCATCGATGACTGAAACCTATATCGCAACCCTCTCCCGCAACCCTATATCGCAACCCTTATTGATGTTTAATTGTTGATTTTTGGTAGATTTGTCCATCCACCGTTACGCCACCTATAAACTACTATCTCCACCTATAATCATCGGTGTGCCATCCTTAATTTTTGTTTGGGACGTTAATTCACTATCAAACGCACGAACTTCCTACAGAATGCGGGAATTTCGGACAGAACGCGCGAACTTCGTATATCGAACGTACGCACATCGCAGAGAATGCGCGGACTTCGTACAGAACGCACGAACTTCGTACAGAACGCGCGAATTTTGTATCAAAAGTGTGAACTACGAACAAAACATGTTGTTAATATTACCTTTTTGTCGTGAAAACAATTCATCGTGTATCTTGCCTTAGAAAAACCGCGTTCGTATTTCCTTGAAATATGTATTTGGAATTTTCACGGATTAGTCACAACAGGTGGAACCTCGCAACTTATTACCCTTTGTAATCTTTCATTCAATATCGAATCTTGTATCATTTTTAGGCATATGGCTTTAACGCAAACATTTTTTGTGCTTATATACTTTTATTACAATGCACTTTAC